ACCGGGGCCCACGCCAGTCCCCCGCCGGCCCCCCGGGCTACCCACGACCGGTGAGGGGCTTCCAGCCCCGCCACGCAAATCGCGGGCAAACCGGGCCTAGCCTCTCCCGCAGATGGTGGACGAGCAGAGAAATGCAAAGCTTTTGTGGCCTTGCGTGGGGCTGTCTCAGGAGCTGCAATCGTCTGTGGTCCCAGACCACGAGTAAACGGAAAAAAAAAAGGTTTTTTTTTTCGCCCCGTAAATACTATCACACGGTATGGGTACATTCCTCAGCGGAGGCCGCAGCTGGCGAGGACAGTGCCTGCCGCATGGTTCCCAGCAGCCGGGGAAGGAGAAGTCCGGTCTGATCAGTAAAAAGGTTTAATTTATTTCCCCATCTCCCCTCCCTCCCTCCCCATTCTCCCGCTCCGCGGCGGAGTCCCGCAGACGGCGGTTATCTGAGAGGACGGCCGAGGGCAGTCCTTTTTAGGAACAGCAGGCAGAGGGCTGAGGTATGAGGTATAAATCCCTACTAAGATTTCTGCATCATTTTTTTCCCCACCGCCTCACGCCCCCGTCAGTGATGGTTCCGTGAAGAAAACCGCGCCAGCCGCTGCGACAAACTCGACAAATTTACATTATCTGTCCAAGAAACGTGCGTGGTCCCGACGGGAGAGAGGGGCCCCGCTCGAGAATCACACCCGGGGGCCTGGGGAGGTGCCGGGCACCGGCACCCACCGCCCCACTCCCGGGAACCGAGCGGGCACGGCACGGCGGAAACCATCGTCCCCGGTGTCGGGATTTGTACGGCGGGTTTGGTTCATTTCGTTTCCCTTTCTCTTCCCCCCTCTTCCCCGCCACCGAGCCAGGCACGCTTCCACTCCTGCAAAGCGCCAGCCCTAGAGGGAGGCACAAGCAAGCGGAGCTATTGTTCTCGGTTTATTTTAATCGCGTAATTGGTTAAAGGTTGTAAACGCGGGGAAACTGCAGCAAACATTTTGCTGCATGGATTTGCATAAATACACCGGTACCCCTAGTGTCCAGGAAGGATGTGGGGCTGGTGGCGTTTAAGGAAACCCAAGTCGCCTGACGCCTAAAAAAAACCCCGAAAACGCAACCCTCGCTTTTCAAAATAATCCCCGCTACTAGTGGCACTGGCGCGGGGTCTCCGGGCAGGGAATGTGCCCCTTTCCCCTGCTGCTCTTGCGGCCGAGGCTGCGCACAGCGGGGGCCCGGCGGGCCCCGCCGCGGGGAAAACCGGGGCCGCCCCCCCCCCGCCGCAAAGCCGGGGCTGCCTGCGGGGGGAAACGCATAACGGGGACCTTCACATCCGAGCGGAGCACTTCCTAGGCTAATATTTGTCCGGGAAAGAGCTGCCGCCGTAGTTGTTTTTAATTTCCAGACAAAGAGAATAAAATTAAAATATTCCTGACGAAGTTTCCGTTAGCTTCGCTCTCCCTGGGCCGACTGGGAATGCAGCCACGCAGGCAAAAAATGACTTCCTTGTGCACACGTCATTTGCGAAGGCCTAGTGGTAACTGGGGTCGTCCCTGACTTATTTATTAAGAAAAACAACAACAAAAAGAATCCCTGTAGTTGTTAAGGTATTTCCTCCAGTAGCCTGGCAGCTGAATCTCTCCCTCGTTCGTAGTTGGAGTCTTGCTAAGAAAAAGAAAAGCGAGCCAGAAATTGGCCCAGGAAGTCAGCAACCCTCCGGTAAAACCGGAGCCATCGAACTTCGGAGCAAGCAGCGGTATTTGGGCGGAGAAGAGCCATAGCTGCGCAGGTCGCGGCTGCCGCGGCGGTGAGAGGCCGCCTGCGATGGCCGCAGTGCGGATGTACCGCGCCTTTGGTTTGCGTGGAATTTTTCCGTTCCCACGTCGATCGGCTCTGCGCGGTCGTGGGTGCTGCAGAGCCACCGCGAAAGGTGCCGGTGCTTCGGCCGAGGGACACGCTGCACGGGTGTGATATTCACGGGTGTGCAGCTGCCTGAAGCAGCGTTTTAAAAAGGCTTTAGGAGCATGTATTTTTGTTAGCTCTGTTTTCGAGGCAGGTACAATCGACACGGAGGCCACTGGTGAAGGGCTCTGGCTATTTCCTGAAATAAAAATTGAGCAAGGAACACCCACAATATTTCATCTCGGAGCCGAGCATTCCCTGTGGACACGGGCCCGGTTTTAGTCTTTACAAGTATTGTCTAAGAATCGGATTTTCCCTCCAGGTCCGAACGCCCCCGGGAAGGTTTTACTGAGGGCGGAGGCAGCCCCTCCCGGGAGGCTGCGGGCAGCGTGGGCGCGGTGACAGCGCCCGCCGCAACCTGTGGGAACCACCCACTCGGGGTGGGGAAGCGGCTCGCGCCAAGTTTT